CTGACAGACTAGTCAAGAACAACATTGGTTTATAATGTAAACTCATTGAGAAAATCTTTTGATTTATGATGGTTAAATGTAAGTAATCATACACACACAAAAAACTGAAAATTAGCTGTGGAGAAAAAAAATCTATAGAAAGCTTGACAAGAGACTCAACTAAACCAAATTACCCCAAGATTATTTAAAGATGAAACTGGAAAGATGAAATGACCTGTCAAAATGTCTATGACCAACTCTTGTCTACATCAATAACAGTGGAATCATCACAGTCACAGTCTCTAATGCACTGCATGAGGAAATAGAAATGGCACTAAAAACAACTGAGATGAAAGCTAAATTAGACCATGACTTTTTTTCCCTTTCTTTTTTTTAATATAAATTTATTTATTTTTAGTTTTCAACATTCCCTTCCACAAGTTTTTGAGTTCCAAATTTTCACCCCATCTCCCCCCTCCCCCCACCCCAAGATGTCATGCATTCTGAATATCCCTTCCCCTACTCTGTCCTCTCTTCTATCTCTCTCCCCTTCTCTTACCCCTTCCCCTTCTATTTTCCTGTAGGGCAGGATAGACTTCTGTACCCCTTTTCCTGTATTTATTTCCCAGTAGCATGTGAAAACATTTTTTTAAAACATATGTTTTTAAAACTTTAGGTTTCAAATTTTCTCTCTTCCTCCCTCCCCACCCACCCTCATTGAAAAGGCAAGCAACTCAATATAAGTTGTACATGTGCAGTTATGCAAAACACGTCCAGAGTAGACATGCTGTGAAAAACTAACTCTATTTCCCTTAATCCTATCCTGCCCTCCCATTTATTCTATTCTTTGTTTTGATCCTGTCTCTCCTCAGAAGTATTTACTTCTGATTAACCCCTTTCCCAATCTGCCTTCCTCTCTATCATCCCCCTGCTCTCTTGTCCCCTTTCCCCCCTATTTACCTGTAGGGTAAGACAGATTTCCATACCCAATTGAATGTGTATGTTATTCCCTCCTTAAGCCAAATCCTATGAGAATAAGATTCACTCATTCCCTCTCACCTTCCCCTGTCTCCCCTTCCACTGTAAGAGACTTTTCTGTTGGTTTTTTTTGTGAGATAATTTACCCCATTCTACCTCTCCCTTTTTTCTTCTCCAAATATAATCCTCTCTCATCCCTTCATTTTATTCTCCAGATATGACCCCTTAATCTTCAACTCACCCTGTGCCCTCTATCTATCTATCTACATATACATACATATAATTTTTTTCCTCCAACTACCCTGATACTGACAAACAGACCATGACTTTTATAAAGAAAGGAAGCAACCCTATTCTGGAAAAGTTGAGGGATGTTTCAAAATATTTGAGAGAAGGGATGTGACTGTTAGAATGAAATATCCAGCCTATGTTTCCAGATTTATTTCCCATTAGCCCCCCTTGTGTTTTCTAAGTTCTACTAAAGCTCTACTATGAGGTGGTCCCTGAACTTGGCTCCTTAGGTTCTATCTCAACATCTTTACATAGATTGTTACCTATGCTGGCAAAAGACTCCCCACATTACTCTCTTAAAATTCTTAGCTTCCTTCAAAGCTCAATTCAAGTAACACTTCTTACAGGAACCCTTTCCTGTTCTTTATACTTGCTAGTATGGTTTTCCCCCTCAAATTATCTTGTATTTGTTTTTCTGTTTACATGGTGTATCCCTCCACGAATGTAAGCTCCCTGAGAGCACTGTTTTTTGTTTTGTTTTGTTTTACTTTTTGTCTTTGTATACACAGTGCTCAGTACAGTGATTTCTGTATAGTAGGTGATTAATAATTTCTTATTTTCATTACTGACTACCCCCCATGGCAATTAAGATAATATTAATAACTACTCACACATATGCCTACTTTCTCATCATATATTGCATAGATTCTCCTATGGAGGAATTATTGGACAACATGGACAGGAATCACACAGGATAAGGAACTGTAATCTGTACCACTGGAGCAATTATCTACATCAGTGAGATCTACCAAAGTAAATAAAATTATTATTAATAATTTGCTAATATTAACAATCTTCATTAAGTATTCACAGCTTGAGGCAACTTTGTAAAATACCAGCTTTCTGAAGATATTTTACTTTTTCTCCAGCATTCCTTTCTCCATCTGGGTAAATTAGCCTCAAGATTCTTTCCCTTTTCTCTGCCCCAAACAAAGTATTGCCCATGATTTATGTCTCAGACTTCTGAATGACATAATCTCTAAGTTGCCACAATCTTTCAAATCTTTCACATTTCACAGACCTCAATGTCAAAGATCTGTTTTACACTATCTACATAAGATTTCTGGGCTTATGTAGGCTATGTCTACACAGGACTACTGGAATGACCATTCTGATTGAAGAGATCCATCTAAACAATCCATTAATTCAATAAAAAAGAAAAAAGGCTTAACTAAATTAACTATTTTAAAAATTGAACTGACTCATGAACTAGCAGTTTTGTGAAACTAGCTATAATTTAATCAAATATAAAGCAATTTTTGTTTCAAAAATCAAATTCATTATTATTTAATTCAAAATTGAATAGTAGATCCTGCCTTCTGGCCTGGAATGTTACTGCATTGAATTATTGAATGTGAAGAGCTGGAAAGGACTCTTTGGGATCATCTATTCCAAACCCTCAACAGATAAGTACTTGAGAAATACAATTCATAAGCATTAAATATTTTATTTCAAAGTTGTTATTGTGCAAAGTATAATTAGCATATTAATTTTCTATTTTCCATTTCCTAACCAAATATTTTAGGGCAACCTACTCAATCACTATTTGTGATAGCATCTTTCTGTGCATTTACTTAACCTACAAGATCAATCTGTATTTTACTCAGAAGTATTCCAATAAAGAGTTTGGTTTTTATAGTTTAGATAAACAAAAATCTGTAAATATGTTTGTGCTGCTAAATAATTTGTTTCACTTTCAACAAAATGTATTCTGATGACACAGGACAATATTATTTGCTGTTAAGCCAAATAAAAATGCTGTTAGCCCTTACTATATTAATGAATCATCTTTTTTCATCGTTAGAATATATAATCAAAAGATAAAAACAAAAATATTACATGAGGTAGAGGAGAACACTCAATCTGAAATCAGAGGATATGGCTTCAAATTGGACCTTTGTCACTTACCACCTGGCCTCAGACATTTACTAGCTATGTGACCCTGCGTAATTTACTTAATCTCTATTTGCCTCAGTTATCTCATCAGTAAAATGGGGATAATAATAGCACCTACCTCTCAGGGTTGTGGTTAGGGTCAAATGAAATAATTTTTAAAGCATTTAACACAATGACTGGCACTTGGTAAGCACAATATAAAAGTTTTATTATTTAAATTAAAATCATCACCCCATAAATATGCTCTATACAACATAACCAAAAGTAGCATTGTGGATCAGGAAGAATATTTGGCATGGCAGTCAGAAGGCTCAAGTCCCAGCTTATTAGCTATATAATGTTGGGTAAAGTATTTCATCTACCTGGGGCTCAGATTTAAGGACGGGTTATCTTTAAAGTCCTTTCTGGTTAAATTTAATTTTAAATTTAACATAAGGCTTATCACTCTACTGCATACGTACAAGTTCTACAAAGTGCTAATGAAATAGTCTTGAATTTTTTACAAAGTGATTACCAATGTCATCTTGGTTATAAACAACATATTCTCTTATATTACTTGTATTCAATACATGTTGGTTAATAAGGATTATGATATAATGCCACAGAAAAATAGTACATCAGTCAGAAGGGACATTGGAGATAGTTTAGTGCATGGGTTGGAAAGCCTGAAGGCCAAACCCAGGCTACTGCCTATTTCTGTACAACCAATGAGCTAAGAATGGTTCTGGTTGGTCATCTGTTTTGGCACAGCTCATGAGCTCAGAATGTGTTTTACATTTTTAAATACAAGAAAAGTGGGTTAATACAAATACTACTCAAAGCATGAATCCCTAATATGATGTCTGTGAAGGGTGGTCACCCAGTCTCTGATCATACTCAGGATCTCTAAAGGAAGCCTGATTTATCAAGGGGTAGTTCTAAATAATCTGATTGTAAAGGTTGTAAAGAAAATTTGAAAAGAGTAGCCATAAAAATTTATGAAATCTAAAATACTTTCATTGTCTTCTCATTTCCTATTGCCTATAAAAAGCAATATTTACTGAGGAAGGTCCATAACCCCTCACATTAAATCATGTATTCAGCTCAAAGCATCATTATTATGTTTTATATAAGTATTAGCAACCATATTTTTATTATTTAAACAAACAATAAGAAAAGTCAAATTAATTTTAAATTTAGCAAATTGTTTATCATTCTTCTGCATACAAACAAATGGCACTTAGCACAAATGAAAAAGTCTTGAATTTTTCACAAAGAGATTACCAATGTCTCAGTCATAAGCAACAACATCTTCCATTTTCAATTTAACCTCAATCTTATGAAAAATGCTATAAAATAATATAAAGCAGGGTTTCTTAACCTTTCTTGTGTAAAGGATCCTGCTGGTAGTTTTGGGAAGCCTATGGACCCCCTACTCAGAATAATGATTTTAAACGCACACAATGAAATACATCAGGATTATGGGGAAAACCAATTATATTGAATTAGTTACAAAAATACTTTTTTAAGGCTCATAGACCCAAAATAAGAACTGATATAAAGAAAATTAGGGAGATATAAAAAAGACTTAGTTTGTGAAGTCTAATATTGCTACCTAAATATTACTAGTACTTTGTGATAAGATTATAAGGAAGTTTTCAAAACATTTGTCTACAATGCTTATGCCTAGAAATAAAGCTATAGATGTCAATTGTCCTAGTGCTTTGTATTTATAAATATTACTTAAATATAATAATGGACAATCATTAAAGAAGGATTGAAACCTTTAAAAAATCCAAACATTTTAAGATATGCCTCCCTCCACCCCAATAACAAAAACAACCACCCTCAGTACAATGTAGTATAAAATTTCCTACCTGTTTCTGGAGCCATCTTTGATGTCTTTGTTGCTTTCTTCTCAGATTTTTTAATTTGTTTCTTTCTCTCTTACTTAGCCTTTGGTTAATGGCACCCAAGGAGAAACCAGCAGATTGTAAGAAACCAATAGATGAAATGCCTTCCTCCTGGTCACCAGGCTCATCCACACCACTGACAGCTACAGGGAAGTCCATCCGGAAAGGCAGTTCATCAATAGTATCATGGTGAGAATGTATGACGGAAGCCTCTAAACCACACTGAAATTCTTCTTCTCTTTGTCTTAAAGTATTACAGGAAGGCACTGAAAATCTTTGCAGTAGCCCATTATCATCAAAACTGGATGAATCCGGAGAGGAATGATTATTTTTACTAGAACCTACATATAAGCCATGAGGGTCAAAAGACTGTGTTTCATTTAGCCTGTTACAGGCAGGAATCTTACCATGTGCTTCATATAAAGTAGGCAATAAGGCCAGTTTCTCTCGGATGTTCAGATCCAAACTATGTGATTTTCTATGAAAAGCTCTTATACTGCATCTGTCAGTCACAGACTGGGGAACAAAAAGACAGTGTTTTGTATTAAATGCTTTGAAGTGCAGTTTTTCACTCTTCCTCTCAAAATTGGTTGATCGCACCTCCAGGCAAAGAGCTTCAGTTAATCTTCCAGGAACGTTATTATTTTGGGCCATGTTTAAAAGCCCTTGATTTCTGTTCTTCCAGGCAACACCTGTACTTTTGAGTGTATTCTCCTTGTTGAGGCCTGACTGAACTCTATAAAGTGACAAGTATTTTACTGAAGGTCTCATTAGTTTGATTACAGGAATAGGCTGATAATCTGTCCTGCTCTTGCAAAGACGTACAGCTACAAATTGGCCATAGGAACATTTTGGGCTGCTGATGAATTTAAAGCCCTCCAAACGGGACCCACAAAATGGGCAATTCAGTTTTCCAACTGTCCAATGTGCCTACAGGTACAGAAAATAAAAACAATGCATTAATTCTGTGTGTGTGTGTGTGTGTGTGTGTGTGTGTGTGTGTGTGTGTGTGTATGAAAGAGAGGGAGAGAGAATAAATGAATGGGAGAAACAGCTTTGTAAAACTTTTCTTTACTATGGTAAAAGCAAGCTTTCTGTTTGTATAAAGCAGCTTGAACAGCAAATGAAACAACTTTCAATGAATTAAAAGCAACTCCAAAGTTCTATAAAGAACTTCATAAACTATTGTCTGAAAACTACTCTTAAAATACTATAAAAAAGAATACTTAAGTATCTACCCACAAGCCGAATATAGATTCAGTGTGTATCTATAACTTGGGAAATAAATTTGTCTATAAAGCTGAATTTGAAAATAAAGTCTCAAAGTTAAGATTCTATTTTGGCACACTTCTTTCATACTAGCTTTATGGAAGGCAAATTCTTACAAGAAATAGAATAAAGCTTTGCCTAACTTTTTACATATAACCAAAGTATATTGATTGCATCCATTAGGTAGAACACAATTATGATACAAATTTTAAAACTACTAGTAAAATGAATTAGTTTAAATATTCATTATTACTGTAGGAAGTAACAGACTATTTGCAGTATTATAATACATTATGTAAGGGTCAGAATATTTATAAATACTGAACTGTTTTTCTAGGAGATAAATACAGTAAGAAAATGTCCAAATTTTGGATGACACCAAATATTATAAAACCAGAAATCTGTATGTAAACAAAATTTCAACAATCTGAATCTCAAATTTTAAAGAAAAAAGATTATTCTTCTCAGGTTTTAAGCTTTCATATATATATATACATACATACATATATATACATATATAAACACATATATACATATATACACATATATGAAATATATTCATATTATATATATATCCTATTCATTGACAGCAGATGATTAGAACCACTCCCCTCCCACCTTGATATTCCCAGTAACAAGCATATTTTCCCATTGATTCTTAATCTATAAAAAAGAGGATTTTAATTTGGGAGTAGTCTTTAATGCTTACTAAAGTATTACAAAAGAAAGTTTCTATGCTTTTGCAATTTATAATCAGTTCTGGTACTTCACATGGCATAAAAAATCCTGAAAAATTTGTGAAGAGAAGGACAAGCAGGACCCTTCAGAAACAAGCATTTCTGGACTTCTGAATAAGTTTTAGATCATGGTAGCAATGGTAGGAAATTTTTTAGTAAAAATATCTTACTCTTTTCCACGTCTGCTTTTGAACAAACTAAAACAGTTTATTTAAGATTTGTTCCAAATAGAACTAATGCAGTTCATATCAGAGCAATCACTTCTGGACTTGGATCATCTATCCACATGATGAACATGCTCTGAGGTCCCAAACAGTGATCCCTAGAGGATGAAAGTGTTTTTTACTTTCCCCAAAATTGGAATTTAGCAGAAATTTGAGCAGTTAGGTGGCACAGTAGATAGGGTACTGGGGCTGAAGTCAGGAAGACTCATCTTCCTAAGTTCAAATTTGGCTTCAGACACTTACTAGCTGGGTGACCCTGGACAAGTCACTTAACCCTGTTTGTCTCAGTTTCTCATCTGTAAAATGAGCAGGAGAAGGAAATAGCAAGCCACTCCAGTATCTTTGCCAAGAAAACCCCCACTGAGTCATGAAGATTCGAACATGACTTAAATGACTGAACAACAACAGAGATATGAAAGGAGCATTGTCATACATTTTGCAATAAATGAAGAGATACAGAATTTACATAGGGTAGGTTTTGGGAAAGAAGTACAAATGCGAAAAACATGATTTCTATTGGCTGAAACGAAAATAACTTAGAAGTGAAAAACCAAAATCAAATATAAATCTAATTTTACCCTATAAAATTTGGGACTAAATTTGATAAAACCTCAGTTCTTATGAACTAAAGAACTGTTTGTTTGGGTGTCCATCGATCCATCTATTTATCACAAATAAACCATTCCTGGTTTTATATATACGTATAAGAGACAGCCTGGCCTTGACATATTAGCTAAAGAGTTGAAGAACTGACCTTAGAATAAGGAAGACTTGGGTTCAAGCCCTGTCTCTGACACATACTGATTATGTGACTCTCTAATCCCTTTGCTTTCCAAAACTCCAAGATGCAGAAATGGTACAGACTTGTGGTGGTCAAGGAACTTCTTACTTGGTTCTCCCTGCACTGATGAAATCACAGATCTGGTAACACACACACACACACACACACACACACACACTCTTTTGCAAGGGTATACAATTAGTCCACTTTTACTTTAATATCAGAAAGAAATTGCTCCATCCCAAAGTGGAAAAGCTCTTCAATCACCTGGCTTAGAGCTACACTTTCAAACAGTCTTTAAGTGGCTGCTTTAGAATATGACTGAGGTGCACAGGGAAGCCATTTTCAGGTGGTAATGTACCTTAGGAGGGATTCTTTTATCAGATGATTTCCCAACTACAATTCTTACCTAAGAGACAAGCATAGGCTGACTGCTGGGACAGAACAGATTCCAGGGAGGAGAGTAGAGGGTACTAGGGAAAAAGGTCTGAACATGGAGGGCACTAAAGCCAAATCACTGCTATTTCACAATTTTACTTAGTACATGCCCCTAATCAAGAAGGACCTTACAGACCTAAAATAAATAAAGTGAATTTCCATATAAACAGTCATTCCTTCATATGCCCTTTTCTTCCCTTCTCCCTCTGACAGTGTCCTTCTGCTCTTTTCTCCCCCTTCTACTAATCAAGACTGTTTTCAGGAAATGATCTTAGTCAATTTCACCTTACTATGAATAAGTCATTATGTTCCCTCTCCCAGGGGTTTTTATATTTGCAATTCATGCTTTACTTCCAAATATGATTTTAAGCTTTCAGAGGACAATTTCATATCCAACACGGTGGAATTTACATCACACCAAACATCTGGCATTTAAATATATATTGAATAATGAAATGAATAAATAATGAACAAATGAGGATTATATCCCATTTCTAGAACTTCATGGATCAATGAACAGAGCATTTGGGGGGGGGTTTAATTGGCTATTTTCTTTGCATCATAAATTCTAAATTCCTATTATATAAGCAACTTCCCAGGAATGAATGAGTATTTATTAAGCAGTCACTATGCGAAAGCATCTAAGTTCTATGGAAACAAATAGAAAAAGTAAAAAATTCCTGCCAAAAGAACCATAAAAAGTGCCCTCCCCTCTAATGGGGGTAGACAACACATAACAGTTTAGCAACAGGGCATGTGGAAAGGTGCAAAAGTCCTAAGGGATATCAACTGGGTGGATGGCAAGGTCCAAGAATCCTTAAGTTAAATAACTAGGTCAAACAACTGTGGTGGGGAACTACAGGGCATAGGTAGGACAAATGGTAGTGACTGATAGTCCTCCATCTAATCTAATCAGGTGAGCAATCAAGCACCTAAGCATGAGACTGGCCCTGAATGCTGTCATTGTTCAGGTAATTGGGACAGCTATGTCTCATTGTACAACCAGGTCTCATTAGCTAGAGAATCTCTTGTTACTTGGCTGAATTTCCACTGCCCAGTTTGATAATGCTGACTTACACCCTATCGATTCAAGTCATGAAATATTTATTAAGCAGTTTCTGTGCAAATAAGGTATTGTTCTGGATACCATATTTCAGAAAGAATATTGCTAAGCTGGGGAGCATCCTGGGTAGCATGACCAGGATCATGGCACCCAGAACTGAAAACAATACTCCGGGTACAATATGACCAGGTCAGAGTATAGCAGTTCTGGATATAATGTTCCTCAATACAGCTTAGAAGAAAAGAAAACTCTGTGGATGCCATACCATAATGTTTACCAATACTGAGCTTATAGTCCATAAAAATATTCAGACCTTTTCCAGTCAAATTGCTATCTAATCATGCCTCCTCTACCTTAGACTCATTCATTTTTTTAAGCCAAATGTAATTTTTTTTTTACACATTAAGTTTCATTTGCTGTTTATATGACACGATCCCAAGGCTCTACATAATCCTGGTCATGCTACCCTAGGAAAGAGAAGGCTCGGGTGTCAAGGGAGAGAGAATAACAGCCATCTTCAAGTACCCAGTGGGTTATCATGTAGAAGAGAGATGAGACTTTTTCCTGTTAATCCCAAGGGGAAGAACTATAGTGACGGGTAAAAGCTGAAAAGGATTAGATTTAGGCTTGTGAGGTAATCATCTAAAAGTTGGATTTGCTGCCTTAGAAGGGAGCTTCCCCTTACTGAAGGTCTTTTCAAGCAAAAGCTGGATGACCATGTGTTGGATATGTTTTAAGAAGGAGGTTCTGAAATGTATGCATAGGACTAGATGGTCTCTGAGATCACTTCCAACTCTGAGGTTCCTCGTGTGTCACATCTCCTCACTGGCAGTGGAGCAGGGTACATAAACTTCATGAGGGTTAGGACCTGTGTTTTATCTAGCATCATCATCAATGACAATAAACATTTATTAAGCACTGACTATAAGCCAGGTACTGTGCTAAGTGCTAAAGAGACAAAGAAAGATAAAAACATGGTTCCTGTTCTCTAGGAGCTCATAGAATGGGGGAGAAGACATGCAAATAACTATGAACATACAAAATAAATGCAGTGCAAGTAGAAGGTAGCCTCAGAGAGAAGGTACTAGGTAAATGAGTAGTAGGGGAGAATTGAGAAAAGCCTCCTAGAGAAGCTAGGATTTGAACTGAGTCTTGAAAGAAGCCAAGGAAGGCAGGAGGTGGAAGTGAGAGGGAGAATTATAGGCATGAGGGACAAGCAATAAAAATGCCCAGAGTTGGGTGGTGGAGTATCATGTTGAAGAACAATAAGGAGTATTGCTGGATCATAGAATATGAAGAAAGGAGTAAGGTATAAGAAGACTGGAAAGGCAGGAAGAGTTCAGGTTAGAAAGAGCTTTAAAAACCAGAGGACTTTGCATTTGATCCTAGAGGTAATTGGGAGCCACTGCAGTTTATTG